ATATCGCAATTTATTACAATATTGCATGGTCAATTATCTCATCAATCAATCGATCGATCATTTCATCAATCAATCAATCATTTCAGTGGATCGGCGAAGCTGGACTGAAAGACGCAGCGGAAGGACGAGTCGTGACAGCCAAGCTTGTCTGTAGAGACGCATCACCGAAGTCAACATTCTCTGGGGTTTTTACACCCTGCGTAGCCTTCAGAGTGGCCGGTTCGTCATCAAAAAACAGTACGTACGATAAGAAAGAGATTACCATATTATATGTATAACTTGAACAAATTTTACAAGCCTCATAATTTTTAATTTATGAAACACTGCGAACGTGCATAACATTTCATAAATGTTTCGCTTCACCAATTTACAATTCAGAGAATTTAAGACTAGAATATATATTGTATACTATAAAAATATACAGATTAAACAAATATATAAAATATATCTATTGAAATGCGAGAATAATAATATATTAAAAAAAAATAAAAAAGAAGAACTTGTCTAGAATATATTTATTACAAAATTAGATTAATTTCATTATTTATTACGTGTGTTACTTTTATTTCAACGAAATTTAATTTAATTAGGATGCTGATTTAATTTCACATGTGAATATGTGGAAATAGTAGGATTATTTACTAATGAGAACGTTCCAAAGAATGAGTATCAGGCATCATAAAGAAATATACGATTCGTTAAATATATATATTTCTTTCTCGCAATAGGCGTACGAGAAGTAATGTTCTCGTCGACGTCCCAGGTGTCGCAAGGATTATCAGCTACGGAATACACCGCCATCGGTCTCTCCTCTGTAATCTTAGCCCTCATATACGTGGCCAGCGTATCGTTATATTTGCACAGCAGAAGGGCGAAGAGAAAATCCATCGAGGAAGCGAACATCACTCTCGACGGCGGTCGAGACGGCGGCGGATTGGTGAAGAGTAATCCGTTGTTGGCCGCTTCGAGACACTTCGAGAGCGACACTAATAGCGGACTCACTGAGAGCGATTTAGGCGAGGATCTTCCCGCGAGCGATAACGAGCAAGGCTTCGAAAATGTAAGTGCAGTATGAACTGTTACTTTTCAATCGATTGTTCAATTTTTCAGCAAACTGTCCTCTAAATTCAATTGAATAATTGTATCTAAAAGAGTTACTTCGCGCGCATCATACATATTATACATAAATAGATTTATTCCTGGACGATTACGAGAAATTTTGATTTGTCAGAGGCAGATTGTAGATATATTTGTTCTGTCGCGTAATTAGACGAGTTTTACGTCATACCGAGGATGTTACGTAATTATTCAAATGCAAGGCGCCACGCAATGGAATTGCCCGGTATCTCTTCGCGCGATTCGCGAGATCTCTAGTGCGGAAAGCTATTCGTCTCTCTCTCCCGGGACCACCGCTCGCGTTTAATAATGCATCCAATTAGCGCATTGGTTTTGCGCTCCGTTAGTCCGTACCATTATAAGTAGGTGAGGTACATCCCACTTTTACGCCGTACACCGGTTGTTAGAATACCACGCACTGCGATTTCAGCGCGTTCTGCGAACTGCTTCCAGTCTCCACGTAGCGCAATTCTTTTCTTTGCTGAAACCAGCGCGAGCGTAAGTCGCGTCGCTGCCAGAAGAAGTCAGGCCTTTGTACGATCTAGTCTCGTGCCGAAGAATATCAGTGATAATATCGTTAATTAATAAATATTGATTAGAACCAGTAAAATTAAAGGGTCCAGCGCAAAAAAGAAGGTAATTCGTTTATAATTCGTAATATCCGGTTCGAATGTGCAACTTTGCGAATTATGGAATAATCTCGCTCTCGAGTCTGCCGGTCAACGATGTCGCACGTTTCTTCAGCAGGTAACGTCCGCGATCGTTCATCCGCACTGCGTGTATCTGGAGCAATCGGAAGGGCCCTTCCCCGCGGGTTCTATACTAGGCGAGAGACTACCGGAAGAGGATGTACGGGTCGTGGAGACGGCTGACAATCCGCATCAGCAAGATGTACCGGTTCTTCCAGGTACTCAACGAAGGAAATTGTACTTCAATCCCGCGTACTTCGATCGACAGCTATTGCTGGTAAGTTGTTTAACGGGGCGGCGGAGGAGGGAGGGGAAAAATGTTGCTTATTTCCCATTCGCGCTAGTCATCCGCGAACGTTTTCGAAGTCTGGAATGCTTTTAATGGACGTACCCTCGACGTCTGTTCGATTCGTCTACCGTTCTTACACACTCGACCAGCGACAAGATAATTTGAAAACAGCCCGGCGTTTTCCTAGGCCCCACCTCCGGCTGCCATCGAGTTCCTGCTCAAAATCCGAGAAGTCATCTCCATCGCCAAGCACAAGATGGCCGCGAAGAGATTTGTTCCTACCCTCATCGGTAAGTGCGTCCGGTATTCTTCGTCAGAAGAGAGATTATTATCAATTCCTCGAAATAAATAATGAGACAGAATGAACTTCACGAAGCAAATAATACGAGAAAGAGATATAATGTTTTTTGTAATTTGAAAGGCGTGGTAGTATATGAAGTAATCAAATTAATATTTCTTCTCGTTCATGCGAGGAATAGAGAAATTGGTGAAAATCGTGAAAGTACAATTCAATTTTATTAAACCTCCGCGCCTTTTCAATGTTCTTAGCGTGTTATATATCAGATTTCCAATTATTTTATTTCTTTGGTCTCGGGTACGCGATTTCGTGCGTTCAATAGAAAGCACGCGAAGCATTTTGTAACGCGCGAAAGTAAAGTGACTTTCACTCGCTATAATTAGGAATAATTAATTTTCGCTTCGTCATCATCGGCGGGATAAATCTGACACGCAGGTATTCCGGAAGAGGAGAGCGGTTCCGAACGATGCGAATCGGCAAAATCGAGCAGGCATCAACAGAGAACGACCCCGAGCTCCGTCCATGGTGGCTCGGCCGCGAAATCGCGCAAATCCCAACGGTGTACCGGATGTCCCGGCTGCAGCGAGTCTCCTCGACAGCTTCCTGCTCTTCCTGTACCCGATCTACCCAGCCACGGTGAGAGTAAGGTGCGCGCCTGGTTAGAAGACGTACGACCACCGCAGCGTCGCTGGAGAGACGCCGAGGACACGCGCAGGAATTTCCAGGAAAACGCTCGAACGTTTGCTAGAAATCTCGAGTACCTGAAGCAGCTGGCTAGACGCGATTTCGGCGATCCGGACGATCACGCGAATCTGATCGGCAAATCGGTGTCGTCGTGGAAAGATAACCCGCCGATGCTGAGGACCTTCCAGAATATCGCCGCTAGGAGCGAGATTTTGGAGAACGACGATCGTCACAGCGTGTCCAGACGGTCGACCAGGTCCATGTTCGAGGGAACCGAGTACGATCGTTACAACCGCGGTAAACGGGCGAACGGTAGACCGTTCCAATTCGCCGCCGGTGACGACGCGATAAACGCGAAAGTCCGCAAGGCCATCGAGAATTCTTTCATCAAGCAGATGGAGGAGAACGCGGCCATGGAAAGCGAGACGAAGGAGAGCGTGAAAGACGACAGGAACAGCAAGAGTGAGGACGAGTCAGCGAAGACGGAGAGATCGTCCAGCAACACGGACAAATCGGAAAAGTCACGATCTCAACAATCGCAGAGCAATCCCGCGCCGAAGAGATCGAGAAAGTCGAAGGCGCCGTGCGTACCACAGTCGAAAGAACTCCCGGATATGATCAATGAATTACCCGGCGCGAAGAACACCGCGAAGCGCATCATGGACGCCGTGATACGCGAGATGGTGGACGTGAAGGCGTTGGATCATCATCACTCCGATCGTACTGCCGCGATCGGCGATTACGAGGTGGACAGTCTGGAGCGTTCCAAGTGCAGTCGGAAATCGTCGACGTCGCCAGACCAGTCATCGACGGATAATCAATCAAGTCCGGCCTTGTCTACGGCGTTGCCGATGGACGAGGAGCTAACGATGCAAAATGCCGTGATCAACACGCGAACCGGCGAGATGACGATGTCGAAGCTCAGTAATCAGATTCTTGCCGAGAGGAATCGCTACAACAGTCTGCCGGAGCTGATCAGCAGCCAGCGATCAGAGACGTACTCGCTGGTGAGCGAGGTTTACGTGAACGACGGCTACGCCAGTCCGGCCTGCAGCGATGACAGCGGCCCGGAGATCCAATACGAGCCGGAAAATCCGGGTCATTTGACCATCAAAGTCCAGGACTCACCGGAGAATTATGTGAAACTTGACGAGTCCGAGTACGAGCCGGACACGTTGGACCGAAAACCGATGAAGCTGCGGATCAACGACGATATGCAGTACAATCGAGGGGAAATTGCCAACGAGATTTACGTGGATTCGTTGGAACGACCGGCTCAGATCCTTCTCAAGAGCAGGGGCAGTTTCCGCGATGAGAATTCCCCGCTGCAACGCGGCCACGGGAGTCTACGGGAGATCTACGAGGCGAGGATTAAGTCGAGTTTGAAGGACTCGCACTTGACGAACGGCCACGACGCCGAATGCCAAATTAATGGTGAGCCCGACGGTGTTCCCTCGTGGAAGAAGTGCAGGTACTTGACGCCGGACAGCAGACAAGCGAAGAGACAACGACAGCCGCACAATCAGCCGGACGTGGTGCCGTTGCCGCCCACGGACGAGGAGATCTATCAGCGGCCGAAGCCACCGCGACGCGTCGAGGACGCAAGACTGCCGCCGTTATCTCCAAAAAACGCCTGGGACGGGAGTCCTGTCGAAGCGGGTGACCCTACGGCCAGCAACGGCGCTCCTGTCCCGAAAGCTGATGGATACTATGTAGGGAACCAGACCTGTCTTTGTGCGTCGCAGACTCAAGTCGACGTCGCGACCAAGTACGAGGTTTACAACGAGGAGCATCGCGAAGACGTCGTTCCCTTAACAGGAACGATGTTCTTCAATGAGAGATTAGGCGAATGTACCGTGACGAACGGCTGCAGAGACTGCCCGTGCGAGACGCGGATCGAAATCGAAGTTCCTGGGGACAGGTGCAGGTTCTACGGGCATGTGGCTTCCTCCAAGGAGGAAGTCTCGGTGCGGGGAACGAAGGTAACGCGAGAGAAGCGGTCCGTCACGGGCTCCTCTCATCACAGGAGTTCCGCGAGGAGCTCCAGGACGCGATCGTGGAGCATCGACCATCGCCAGGAGGACGAGGACAAGCTCCTCAACAACAGCAGAGCGCAGAACTGCTCCAGAACGAGACAGCTGATGAAGGATTTCTCGAAGAGCTGCGATTCCAGCTCGAACGTGCCGCCGTTGGTGGACAATCGGCGTGGTCACGTCAAGGTCGAGGACAGCGGCTACCTCAGCAGCACCGACAGCAACGGCTCGCACAAACGATTGCTGAAGCACGAGGTGAGCAGCGTGTCCGAGGAGACCGACGAGACCGAGTCGGTATGCGACGGCGCCAGCGAGAGCGGCGCCGAGAGCATCGGCACCGACAGCGTGTTCTTCGGCAACTTTCGCAGACTGTCAGAAATTTCCAAGAGCGCCGATTCCGGTGTGGATCTGGGAGCGAAGAATTCGTCGTATTACCAGCCACTGTTCGGCGCGAGGACCGAGACCGCGGTAGTTCTGGAGAGAGCGAATTTCAGCACGAGCGACAGCGAAACCGAGAGTCTCGTCACCGTATTGCCTCCATGTAGCGGTCAGTGCAACAAGTTGGTGTCATGAACGATGCCGAAGTATCTGATTGAAATAGATGATCTCTTCATACCATGGATTCTCCGGTAGGTTCTGTACGGTAGGCAACGTATATTGGTACCGAATCTCAGTAAAAACGTTGATATAAAAACAAAAACTTTAAAATTATTTATAACATCTTTTGCTCGCACAATACGCAATAATTTCTATAGGAGTAACGATGGCACAAAGATAAAATAATTGATTAATTCTTATTTTTTTATTATGAATGAATTGTTAAGAGCACATATCGTGATATGTTAATCTTTTACATAGAAATGTCAAATTGTAAAAAGCAGAACAGCTTCTTATTGAAATTATTTGTTTCTAATATATTTTCTGTACTAGATTTACACCGTAGCAATGTTAGGATGCAATATAACACTACTTTTAGAACGTAAGTGGAAATCAAAATACGATTTGCCATCGTACTTGATAGGGTATAGAATATTAAGTCCAGTTTATTGATAAGACAACAGAGTGCATTTGTGCTATTAAATTTTCGAGAATGAATCTTGAAGGATTTATATATTCGCGAAAGATTAAAAATTCTAATAAATCGAAACGTTAGATAAATTTTATATCTTCTCAGAAAAGTTTCAAGGCCAGTATAGGAGGAAAGTAATTTAGAAATTTATTATTAAAATAGATAGCTTACACGATCACGATAGTTTTATAAATATTACAATTAAACACAAAGCGCCATGCGTGCTTAAGAGTTCATCAAGCGGGTAAATGATATATTCTCTTCGCTCAATCTAGAAAAATAATAATTAAAAGACTTCTGTGCTTTAATTATTTTTTATATTAATATATTTTTAAGCTAAATTATACGTGCGGAAATTTAAAAGATATTTATGAGAAACACATCTAGATTATTATTATTAAATGACTAGTTCTCGGATATCTATTTGAAAATAGTTTAAAAAGATATGTATAAAAGAGAGACTTTTTTAAAAATAGTTTTTTTATATAATAGTTTTTAAAATAGTTTTTTACAAATTGCATACATATATTTATGTATTTATTTATATTTATTACTTTTTATTAATTAATGTGTTAGACAAGACATGTGGAATAACTGCATGGAGAAAGTGATAATGTTTTTTATCATAGATGACAACGATGGAAACGCTTATGCATTTTTCTTGATTGATTGCAGTTAGTATGATCGAAATTATCGTAGTTACTGCAATCGAAATGATATGTTGAACGCATCATCGGCCGGAAGTGCAATATTAGTCCATAATAAAGAGAAACTGCACCAATCATAAATTAAGTAAATAGGCACGATAAATTTAGAATAGAGTCATAAATTCACAAAATGCGCAAAGATTGTTTCTACAGGAGTACGACAGCACGAAGATAAAATAATTAATTATTATTAAGATATTATTTTTCTATTATGAATGATTTTAAGCATCGTTTTTTCTGGAATTTTTTTTAAACCAGCGTTTTTGAAGAAGATTTACTTGTTTGAAGAAGTTAATGACAGGAGAATAATTTATGTAAATATGTAAGTCAAGAGTAATGATATCTTGCCAAAAAGGTATTAATATTTTATATACTTTTCTGATATTATTACAGATGTTATGATAATTATTGTTATTGTTCCTCCTCTCATTTCCTCATATTTCCAATTGCTATCAAAATTACTTTAGGTGATTAAGTATTGCAGTTATTAAGAAATATATGCCAGCATAACTGGGGAATATTTTCACCGCCTCTTATTAATGAATAGTCAATTAATATACATTAATATACAGGTTGAAATAAGATAGCGTATAATATTTATACAAGAATTATACATACAATATGTATTATATGCAAAATAATTTGTAAACTTATCTTCATAATTTTATTTTATGATAAATATTGTATTTAAGATTTATTTATCGCTAGTACTCCAAGTGATTTACATAAAAGCGAAATAATATATTTTTCCATGTTATTAGTTATTATTTTGTTTGCAAAAGTTTAATATTTAATATTTAATAATAATTTCAAATTAATATATTTCTATCTACTTTTTAGAATTGTTAACATTATAGAAGCGCACGCTTCCATGTACCTGCCAAATGTAAATAATCGAGCTAGATTTTAATATATACCGTTAATTACATTTACATATACTATTTAATATCATTTTGCGATATTCTGTTTTAATATACATATATTTTATGGAATGTTGAAGTAATATAATTCACAGGAATATACATATATGCCATTATGATCGTAAATACTTTCATGAGCACATGAACAAGGGAAAATTAATATATATTATATTAATTTATTTTTTATTTAATATTAGGTCTGCGTCAATTTATTGTGTTAACAATTATTTAAATGTAATGAAAACGATAATCATGATAATATTTATTGTGTTATGACTTTTCAATTTTAGCAAAATTATGTGATCATATTTGCTAAATCGTTAATAATAGATTGCTCTTAAAATCAAGTATCAATATCGCCCAGATTTTCGAATCGGGTTCTGTACCTTGTCCAAATGCTCGTAAAACGATCGTAACGTAGCATAAAAGATTATGGGAACAAATTTTTATAATTATACTCGGCCACTTCGGCGTGAGTTGGTGTCGGTAGGTTTCGGGTTCGTCAAGAACGCTTCGTACAAAAGAAAATTTCATATTCATCGAAGAGATTTGAGAGCTGCATGTCCATTAATATATCAAATGACAATTCCGACTTTTTTTATAGCGTGACGAAACATTGTTGAGCATCTCGTAGCATTTAATCGAAGCGACGTTGTTGTTCTAGTTACGAAAAGCATCACATTGTGATTGTACATATATATGTAACAAATTCTTACTATTTTATAAAAAAAAAAACTGTTAATGGGAAAGATGCAGTATTTAACGTGTATTACTCCTGCAAACATGTGTATTCTACATCCTTCCTGTCATAAAAATTCATCAGTGTATTCATGTAAGTATAATTAGTCGTAACATTTATACATGGGTCTTGATTTGCAATTTTAATTCTTGAAATTTCAATTAATGATACCTCTCATCTCTAATTATATTCTCCTGACTAATTATATTCATTTTTTTTTTAACAACAGTTTTTGGTAACTTTAATTTTTCTCATAGATTGATCGCAAAAACCGAGCACGCGACACCGAGAAGTGGAAATAGAGGAGAAGAGTTATACTTAGCGGCAAAGAATTTAACATTATTTTTTTATTAATTACATAATTTATTACTTATTTTTTAACTCTATCAAATATACATGCTGTCAATTTGTATACAAATATACATACAACAGGTCCCTAATAATAATAATAATAATAAATCATAAATAACGCTATATCGAGTGAAATAGTGTTACAATTTTAAGATTATTGTTATTATGTACATTTATCATATTATACATATTTAAGCTAAAGAGATTTTTTCTGCAGCATCTTCTATAGGTTTAGCCGACGTTTGCAGGAGCTCTGCAAGAGTTTTGAATAATTTCTCTTTGTACTCAAATACTTGTCTTGAACTAAGATTATTTCTATCGTCAACGTATCCTTGTGTCTCCAACATGTACTGCACTACAGACCACATAACGCCTCTAAATTTCAAAAGCACATCAGCAGTTCTAGATAAAAAAAAAAACAAAGATTTAAGCACACAGATTATTATATACTATATATTAAAAAAAGAAAGATACAGAAATACTCACTCTTTGTTGCAAACAAATCTTAAAGTATGTAGCGCATTAACATTAATCACAATTTCTGTTTTGTCATCATCCAGCTAAAAATCATGAAATATAAATTGTATAAATGTTGCTCCACTACGCTGCTGTGCTTAATCACGAGATTAAATTATTTAATTACCTTATAACATTGAGCCTTTCGTTGATTAAAAAGTAATACTGTCAAAGGTGATATCATGCTTGTCTCACGAATTACCGTGCTACGTCTTATCTCGCAGTGTGCAGCATTAAAATACGTCAAGAAAGAACTCGGCCAAATTTTTCGCTTGTAATTAACACTTTCCCCCGAAATTACAACCTTAGCGCGACCTCTGTAAGAATGAGATTACAAATAAAATGACTATAAATTGCTTCTAAATTTGCGTCCGCGATTACACAAAATTCGCTTACTGTGTTCGGAGTTCGTTAACGCCCTTTCTCATGATTCCGTTTTTAAATCCCATGTCTTTATGTTCTATCAATTGCTGCGTAGCACCATACAATACAGCTCGGACTAGTTCGTCGTTACTTTCAAATTTATTTGCTACAATGTTGGATTTATTACAATCGAAATGCAATGTATCTTTGGTCAATAGGCGACATTCGATCAACTGCTGGATATATGTATTTCGTATTTCTGCAAAATTATGATGTGGTTTAAAAAAGAAAATAATAAATCTATCGATGAAATAACGAATTTGATTGAATGCATGCATATAGTATTAACTTATACTGTACAATAATATTACTTACGACTCAGTATTTGTATTCTGAGCGGTCGGAGTCTCATATCTCTACAAAATTTCGTTATTAGGTGCGGACTTGTTTCACTATATGTGAACCATTGCTTAAACATCCAAGCCATCGCGATATGATCGCTGGCTGGAGAGAATAACCTTTTATTTTCCCTGATTTGAAGCTTTTGATCCAATACATTGTAAAACAAGCTATCTTCACCAGAGAAAATACTGGCTATCGTTATCATAGGATGTATGCAGCTATTGTTGAAACGAAAACACTTATAATATAGACAAATAATCGGAAAATAACTGATTCAAATTAATGTTGAAATTACTATTTAAACTTACTTGAAGATGGCAGAATATACCATGGCTTTACTAAACTTGGGATACATTGGGAATAGTGCCATTCGTTTACCTAGAGCTGTAAGATTCTCCTCATTATCCATAACACCGAGATCCACTAAAGTTCTTACCGCCTTCCGTATTGCGGTTGGTGTAGGCGGTTCCAGCATTCCACCTAGAAATTCCTCCGCCTTCTCGTCCGTATATGTTTTACTGTCAAGAATTACTTTTTCCAACGGATTGCACAACAACTGCGGTACTGGATGCGCCTCCAATTTCTCGTATTCTTCCTTTGAGATTAAGTGATAACTTTCGCCAGGTTTAACTCGTCCAGCTCTCCCTTTCCTGTATAACAAATTGTTATCTTAATGTAAAATATTTTTTTAAATGGCATTTAAATGCAATTTTTTAAATATTTATGCTCCTTCCCTCAAATTGGAATAACGTAATTTTATAACAGTGCGACATATTTACTTGTCTCGATAATTACCTCTGTAGAATGTTCGCCCGAGAGATCCAACGATTGCTTATGTAAGGTAAATCTTTGTTATTGTCCCATCGCGATTCTTTTCGTATGGCAGAATCCACAACATAAACCACATCACTAACCGTAATGCCTGTTTCAGCAATGTCCGTGGCCAAGATAATTTTTCGCACACCCGCCGGTGTAGGCTGAAAGATTTTACGCTGTTCGTTGTGCGATACTTTGGAATGCATCGGCAAAATCAATTGATTCTCTTTATAGGACGATGTATCCTCGAGCAGGCTCTGCACCTTCGTGATTTCATGCCATCCTGGTAAGAAGCACAAAATAGCACCGGGCGGCTTATGCGACGAGATCCATTTTATAATCTGTACTACTTTCCCAAAATCAACTGAAAGTTTTTCAGCTTCATCGTCATAGCGATCCTTCATCGCGTATGTTCTGTATCTTTGGATATTTGGTAGGTGTTCGATATCCTCCAAGAAATGCATTTTTACAGAATACAATCTACCCGGTACTCGTACAGCGGGACAATCGAAATACTGTTGAAACTTGTGCGCATTTATAGTCGCCGACATTATCAGTACTTTTAAATTGGGATTTTTCTTCAGAGCTCTCTTGAGCAGAATCATCAGCATATCGGTATCGATCTGACGTTCGTGTGCCTCATCCAAAATCACGTGCGAGCACCCTTGTAAACCAGGATTGCTCTGCAATTTTCTCAATAGTATACCGGTGGTGCAAAAAACTATCGCACCGAGTTCCTTCGGCAATGAATATTCTAATCTCACGTGAAAACCCACAACGTCCCCGACGCTCTCGTTTCTTTCGTACGCGACGCGATCTGCCAGAGAGATCGCCGAGATTCTACGTGGCTGCGACACCAATATATTGCAATCTGTAGCATTCCCGTTCCGTGCGAAAGTGTCCAATATAAATTGAGGAACTTGTGTAGTTTTACCGCAGCCTGTATCGCCTTCTATTAATAGGACTCGATTGTTTTCCAGTTTGGAGAGAATTTCATTCCTGCGAAATAAATAACGTATACTTAGAAAATTATGAAGCACATTATATATGTACATGTAAAATATGAAACAAGCATCTTTCATACTTGAACTCATGAATTGGTAAAGTGACAGTGTGATCGGTACGTTTTTCCAATCTGTCTTTCAATGTTTTATTACGGAGGAAACCATCCTTGACAGCATCTAGTCCTATTATTGGATGGACGTTAGTCGTAGTCCGACTCAGTGCATTGTGAGCATTGAAAGTATTTTCGGCCGCTATCTTATGTATTTCCTGAATATCGCACATATTAAAATCGTCAAATATTAAATATATTAATAAACTTGTATTGTAATACATTAAAAATTGTAATGCAACATTTTACCGTGTCGTAAGTTTTGATCAAGTCTGACATATTGTTTAAAATTTCGGGAGCAACGCTTAATTCGACAGGCTTTAATCGTATATTCTTCATTTCCTCATCATTATAGACAATCGGTTTGCCGTTTTTCAATTTGCCATTTGTTTCTAACCATTGCAAGCATTTCCAAGCTGCATTTTTGGAAGCGAGTACCTTGGTTTTAGCAATTTCTTTAAAGGACATAACTTCTGGCCATTTGACGTTAAAAGTAATTTCCCATACATTAGATCTATTTACAGTAACTTTTTTAGCCTTTGTAGTTAAAACTGTTTGGTCGTTAAGTTCATGACCTAGTATTGTATAAATAGATATCAAAGAAGATTTTGGATCTGGGTACAAGCGTTCCACTCCTGCAATTTTCAGTAATTTTATTATGCAGAACAAATTGATGAAAATGACTGAACATAAATTGTGCAGTAAATTATAATCGTGTAATGTAATAAATTTACTTCTGAAGTTACATTCACGACAGAAATATTTTGTACTTGAGATAACTAATATATGTATACTTGTCAAGAAAGACGAATATAAAATTTAATATACATAAAAGATAAATCTTGCACTGTACGTCAATTGCAAATTATTTCTAATTTAGCTTCTATTCACTAGATTTTAAATAATCTTGTATTGGATTGTAATGATTTATACATACTTTTTTGGATTACAGCTTCCTTATTAATCCTCTGAGATCTACCGTGCTTGTCTTCAAATTCATCGAGGCTTTGCTATGAAAATTTTTGTTCTCTTTAATAATCGAAATTTCATTCTGAATGCACTTGTAATATTTACGATTCATTGTGAACTGCTTACCTCTGTAAATTTTTCCAGATTAACGTTTCCATGTAAACTTTTAGTTCCTACATTTTTATATGTATAATCTTTCACCTACAATATTAAAATGACAAAATAGATTTTTATTCGGGAAGATTATCCTCAAAATACTCGTACAGTTAGCATCTTTAAACATACCTGAGATAAATGTTTATCTTTGTCTTTCACAGAAACACAGTACTGCGCTGCACTGTGTATATGCGAGTCTTTAACCACATTTTTATATAAATGTGCCACACGGCAGTGTTGGAGCCTATAATAAAATTATTAATTTATTCTTATACATAAATTACATGAACAATCCATTACAACTTAAATTAACCCTTAAATGCCACACCTCTCAAGAATCTCGTAAATGACACATGGGGTCTAAAAGACCCCAGCATGAAAAATGTCTTCTTACTCATTGATTTTTTTTATATTTAGTTATGAAAATTATTTTCAATGTTGTTCAAGGCTTAGAAAAGAAAAAAAATGCTTATATTGTTAAAATTTCAATTTCAACATAGTATAAAAAATTAAGTAAACTGAGTACTGTTAAGTGTACAAACGGGTAGGTCAATCACTCAACTATCATCAATGGGAGCATGAGCTCCATTTTTGGCAAGAACATTTGAAAACATTTCATTCTAAAGGGTCTGAGGTCCGCTGGACCCCGGGTGGCATTTAAGGGTTAATATTACAAATTCTATTTTTAGGAACTTTAATCCAACCGCTTCGTCGACGCTAGTACACAAATGAAACTAAATCTCTTTCAGCAATCGCTAAGTAACCACGACAAATTAGCAATACTAAGATTGAGGAATATGTGAAAATGTAATGTAATTTATGTGAAAGTTTAACAAAATAACATTATTGTTATATACCAGCTATACGTTGTTCTTCGCCCAGAAAGTACTAGAAATGATCCTGACATTGCTTCTTCGTGTATATTCCCTTATTCCGTCTATATTTGCTCCCTAAAAAAAAGAAATATATTTCCAGAATATGCTGAAGATTTAAACAAGTCCAGTCTGACAAGCACGAGGAATTAAAAATCAACTTGTATCTATCTCGATCATCGGTCAAGTCAGATCAGTTCACCTCGAGGTTCACCTTCACGTGGTCACCGTGGAGGTTATAAACACTTAACCTCTACGATCAAAGCGAACGGAATGATTCCAAACGTTTGTGGCAGCGCTTGCACGTCACGAAGAAATATCGTCGAAATAGTCATTCGCATAGAGCAATTAAGCGCTGATTTTTTTTATCCAAAACGTGCCGGTTATGTGTTATCCCGACGCTCTAATAATGCTCTCGTAACACAGAAATTACGCGAAAAATACAACGTGGCCCATAAATATGTAGTCGAGCTTGACGCCGGTAACAAAAGATTTGCTGCCTGTAAAAGCAGAGAGAAGAATATCTGTCTGCTGGACCACGGGGACCTAACCTGAAATGATGTTTTATATTGGACAATGGACCGCTCGAAACGCCACTCGCACCCATTTTCAACGTTGGAACTATTTGGCATATCCATTTTCTGGCACTGTCGATAAAGTCTCTCCCCTTGGTGCGTGTCCGTGCTGCGCTTATGATTTTCGTGTTGTGTAATTTTACATAATATATTTTTGCAATATTAATAAGTTCAATTACTGTACACCGTACATGCAATAATAAAATTCAATTGCATAATTTTAGTTGATCAACTGTACGTTTTTATTAGCCATCCATTTGACTCACGTAGTGTCACGTACCAAAGTTGCATATTCAAATATTTCGTCATTATTAGAAAAACGTGATAGACACGGAAACAAATTGATTTCGGGAAAACTGGCGTCACAATTCATTTAATTAGTAAGAAAAACCTGCATCAATTCTTTGTAATAATAACATTTAACTATCGTGTATATAGATTCGGCATTCGAACTTGGCGATCGCGCGCGTCGTGTCGCGCGCGGGATCATTATGAAGTTGGCGACGTTGGCGTGGCGTCACTACTCACTCTATTCACTTCACTCTCGAATCTCCAGTCGTCGCGAACGGAACGTCTAGCGGATACAGGATGGATCATGGATCCGTTCGTCGTGGCATGTTTAACCGGTAAGCGCAATCGTTATTGGGAGCTTCATATTCAATCGTGTCTTAATATTTGACACTCGCGCGACGTAGATTCGACGCTCGGTACATCGCTCAAAAATATTTCTCGCGATGCGTTCGTTCGGCCGAAATCGATCGCGCGGGATCACGGGAGAGATGGTGCATCGTGACGTCACTCTCTAATCCCTCGTCATCGCGAACGGAACGTCGCGCGTCGGCGAGTACAGGACGACGGGTCTATTCGTCTTGGCTCGTATATAATCGCTATAATCGGTAAGCGCAATCGCTTATGAGCTTCCGTATTCAATAGTGTCTTAGTATTTGGCACCCGCGCGACGTGTAGATTCGAAGCTCGATACATTGCTTAAGATATTTCTCGCGATGCGTTCGTTCGGCCGAAATCTATCGCGCGGGATCACGGGAGAGATGGCGCATCGTGACGTCACTCTCCAATCCCTCGTCGTTGCGAACGGAACGTCGCGGGTACAGGACGGGCCTATTAATCGCGGCACGTTTAATTAATCGGTAAGCACAATCATTATAAGCTTGAACTCAATCGTGCCTCCGGTATTTGACGCGCATACGACGTAGATTCGACCGGTACATCGCTGACTTCATAAAACGAGTATTTCGCGAGATGCGCGTTTAACCGAAATTCGTCGCGCGGCATCATGGTTAAGATAGCAGCGTCACTCTCGAATCTTTCGTCGCCGTGACGTCACGGCGCATACAGGACGAACCTAGTTGTCTCGTATTTAATCGTGTCTTAATATATTTGACACTGGCGTGACGTGTAAATTCGACGCTCGGTACGTTGCTTAAAATATTTTACGAGATGCGTTTGATCGAATTTGTCGCGCGAACAGTCAAGAGAGCGACGTTCATATTTTCCGGATATCGCGTTCCGCGAATATTTATTCTTATAACTTTAACTCGCTTCATCTGCTTTATAACGTGCGAATCTAATCACCGCGGCGATTTGTCGCGAAATCACACGCATTTCCTGCAATCCTGCATCGATTTTCCGTCCGAATGTAATACAGTTTGAGTCGTGCAAATGATTGACGTCGGGACGTTGGGAGTGCCGTATACGCAGCAATCATATAATAGTTAATTGTGTTTTAGCAAGCGCTGTAAATGAGCGGCCGCGGAGGAAGGAGGAAGAGGCCCAGGGAGGCGTCGAGCGACGGCGAAGCAACCACGAGGTGAGAAATTTGTTACTTATTTTATTAATTACTGAATTTAAACGGTTTTCCTCGCGAGAATCACACGATTACAACGAGTATTCCATGCATTAATTATATAGTAATATAACGTACAACATTATAGCTTATAAAATGTATTACATATTTTTTACATTTGAGAGGCTTAAAATATTTAATAAAGTATTTATATAAAATTCAACATACACGTAATATTTTACACCATTTAAAAAGTTATAATTATTTAAATTATAAATACGCAAGAATTAAAGACTCTATTTATCAAATTTTTTAAAGTTTTTATATAAAAAGATTTTGTGTAAAGTTACGTAATTTTTTTTAAATAAATATTTAATTAAAAGCCAGAAAACTACAAAAGATTAAGAATTTATGAAAAGAGATTAAGAATAAGAAGTTATATAAATGCATGTAATAATTATTTTTGTAAAATATTGAAATTTAAAATATTAATTTAGATATTTATTTAAATATATTTATATTTTACAGATTAGTGTTGCATACGAGTACAACTCTATTACTGGTCGCACTGCATCGCACTGGTAAGTGCACTCTATTATATCCAATCTTAATCTCGAAATTAAATAATTTTATATTTGCTAAAAATCTTGTAATCCTATCTGTGCATACAAAGTTTGACAAGAAATGTAAAAATATCTTTATTAAGTTTGAAACAATTTATCAAAATATAAGACTTAAATTTTAACATGGTCTGGTTGTAAAATATTTTATATTTTTTTCCAATTTCTGCATTTTAAAATTTTAACTTTTTTATCAAGTAATTTATGCATATCTAAAACAAATAATTTATTCTATCGCTTAATAAAGTTCTGTTGCATGTAAACGTACAATAAACAAGCAAATTTAATAATAATATATATTATATCAATTATAATAAACTCTATTTTATAGCTTTTTTTTATTTTATGCAACTTTGTATGCACATACAATAAATCGACGAATAATAATTATTCAAGGAATTAAATTACTACTCTATCTTGACCTATCCATATTTTAAAAGGCAACAAATTTATATGATATATTTATCTATAATATTCTTATACCCTTAACTAATAATTGCACTTTTGAAAATATATTAATAACCAAATAACCTGAATAAATGCATTCAGATATCAAGAAGTTTGTGAATATTTGACTACTGTATCTATTATTGTTGCGAATTTAAATTTTTATATATTAATAATTGCTAAGAAAAAATATTGTTTATTATTTCCGGTTTTTCTCATATCGTATTTACATTTATGTCTTATTTATGTTTCATATAATTTTTATAAATTTATTACTCATTTACATACATGCAACAGAACTTTATTAAGCGATAGAATAAATTACTTATTTTAGATATGCATGATAAAATAGAATTGCTTGATAAAAAAATTTAATTTTGAAATACAGAAATTGGAAAAAAATAGAAAATATTTTACAACCAGAACATGTTAAAATATAAGTCGACTTATGTCGACTTATATTTAACCGGAAATAATTAACAATATTTTTTCTTAGCAATTATAATTAATATATAAAAATTTAAATTTGCAACGATAATAGATACAGTAATAAAATATTCACAAATTTCTTGATATCTAAATGCATTTAGTCCTTAGTTATTAATATATTTAAAAAAGTACAATATTATCAATTAAGTGTATAAAAATATTATACATAAGTATATCATATAAAATTATCTTAGAATAGAGTAGTTAATTAACCATAATAATTTTTTAAAGCAGTTTATTAAAGCATTTAAATATATTGTAATATTTACAATTGGTTATCAGTACCCCATTTATTAATATTTGTCGATAAATTTGATGTATGTAATATATGCACGTGAGAAATCAAAAGCCAATTTCTGCTAGACAATAAAAATAGATTTTACGTGAGTTATGATAATCAATAATAGTGGATGACAAATCAGTTTGCGCGTAATTGTAATTACAAATGCATAACGATTTGTCATCTAATTTTTATATTATATTTACACAGATAACAATAATTTTTGATTAATTAGTTTTTTCTTTAGACTTTGTACATAGCAAATAGATGTTAAATAATGTATGTTATAATCATCAATCGATATTCTGACATGTTAGTTGATAACAACAAATTAATTATTACATAATTATAATACTTAAGCCTAAGTATTATATGCATATCACAAAGAAACTTTTTCTTTATGTTCTGCTCTTCTAATATCTTTTAAATTATAAATGTCATATAATTTGACAGTTTATTAAAAAATTATTAACATGCAACATTAATAAGTATTTCCTATACCTGTTTTATATTTATACAGACAATGATGCATTTTTATTTCACACAGATATGTACAATGTACAATATATAAATATC